TTTTTTTTTTTTTTTTTTTTTTATTCTTCAAATACATGTTACAACCACCTACTAGGTGTAAATTAACTTTTCTTTACAAATAAAGTAACTTAGAAATTGATTAACGTCTAATTTTTGTTTTTAGCTTTAACTTCCATAACCCAAACTCGCATGAAATCCAGACTACACTCATACTTTTTATCATAAATATGTCCATTTTTTCAACAGAAAATAATAAACCAACATTTCGATCTGATATTATCTGAGCATACATTTTGTAATCCAAGAAAAGTTCACATGATGTTTCAAGATGTTATGTTGTTTGGTTCTTTGTTAAAAAAATAAAACATGTGAGAAAGTAAAAAGCGTTTAATATATCTAGAGTAAATCTGGTTAAATCCGTCCATGTTTTTAATATCCATTTGAACATGTTTTTCAACAGATTTTTGCTATCACTTTCTTGCAATCCTCGATGTCTAGTCGTTGACGATCAACTAACTGTTCTTCCAATCTCATCTCATGCTTTGAATGTCGTACCAGTGGTTAAACAGAATTTGGATACAAAATCTAGCCAAGAGTTGGAAGAGTTAAAAGAGAATCTTCGAGACACGCAGCCTGTTAGTGCACTCATCAATTGCTGTAAGACATTAGACCAGGTACTACCCTAATTGTTTTTTATTTTTACGCTTTAATATAGTAAGTCCATTGTTATTGCATTTTCTTATAGATAAAACTCACCCTTGGGTACATCCAGTGATCAGTTATATAAATGTAAACTCTAAGCCCATTCTTTTTTTACAAATAGGACAATTGCTTCCAAGCTGTACACCTGATCTTCAGCTTCATGATGACTGTTGTCAACCTCACATCTTGATCTTGACATTCGTGATAAAACTGAAGATAGAGCGTTTAGCTCCAAAACAATTGTCCTTTATGTAGGAAGTGAGTGGGCTTTAGAGTTTATTTTTACATAATTGACGACTGGGAGTACCCATTGTTTTAAAGTTTGCTGTTCAGAAAGATCCATCTCCATTCATAACTTTCATCCTTTTTTGAAAGTATGAAAGTCAGGAATTACAATGATTACATAAAATGTTCAACGATAGCTTAATCTTACGAATTGTGACTTAATTACAAAGCAACTGTAGCTCACTGAAAAACTAAAAGTGTGTTACTTTAAACAGACAGCAGTTCCATATAAGAGTTTTTTTTAATGAATGAAAGATGGTAATTTTGCCATCTCATGTTATTAGTAAGTTGGTGAATGTTGTCGATTTCTAAATCTCTCTTTTAGTGCTCTGAGCTTTGAAAGGAACGAACAGTTGAACTTAGTACATTTTTATTTGTTACTTTACCCAAAAGAATCCTTGTTCCCCTACTTTTTTGTAGAAAACTTCATTTATGTTAACTTTAACTTATCATATTTTTCTATAATCATCATTTCAACTATATTTTATTATTCTTGAATCTAATTTCCCTTTTTCTTTTCAGGCAAAAGCTGTTCTGAAATTTGTGGATGCCATATCTGAAAAAACTTTACGCTCCACTGTATCGTTGACAGCTTCCAGAGGACGAGGAAAATCTGCAGCCCTTGGATTGGCTGTCTCAGCAGCCGTCGCTTTTGGTTACTCAAATATTTTTGTAACCTCACCTTCACCGGAAAACTTGAACACATTTTTCCAGTTTGTTTTTAAGGGTAACTTCTGCTTCTTTATTTTATCTCAGTAACTTTCCACTTCAGAACAGTATAAACTATGTTAGATATGATATCCTGATAAAAATTATCCAATAAAGCTTGAATTTTGTTGAATTAGACCTCATTATGCAATATGAGGAAGTACGATATCTGACTCTTTCACAGAAGCACCTATCTGCATAGGGAAACTTATCTATTATGTATATGTTGTTTCTCAAGCAAGTTAGGAATAGTTTCTAATTGCAAAATTTAATCTATATCTGTAATAAGTAATCAAATTTAGGAGGTCGGAGATGATAGCCTCACCTCATCTTTGCATTAATTTAGCATCTTGTGTGAGTAGCATTTTTTTTAGAACCAATTTTTTTTTTTTATCCATTCATGATTACAATTCACTATTTCAGGAGAATTGCGGAATTTTAAAATTGCAGTCCTTGATATTTCATAACTTCTGATCCAAAATTGAAGATTTACCATTAATAACAGGTTAAGTGCCAAATAGTAAAGTTTGAGTTGTTAACATTTTTATTTTTGAAAACTGCTGCGGAACACACCATGAACACTATCTTTTGGATACTATACTTACTACTCCATCACTGGTGGCACCTAGCCTATCTTGCAGCCTGTTTTCCTTGGTGCCTAGAAGAAAATGCTACGTCTAATTCAATTTTCAATTTTTTGGCACTTAGCCCATTATTCATTTTAAAAGTCTTTAATTTATTCTTTTATAATGACAAGTTCGAAATCTGGAAGCAGCTTTTGATAGCGTGCAAGATTCTTTTTAGTCTATAGCATTATGAAAGTGCTTCAGACATAATGTTTTGATCACCATAGGTCCTTTCCATTGAATGGAATGTTGAGGTGTCTAAAATCTATTTTTTGCACTTTAATGTGTCACTGCCGCTGAAAATTCTTTTTGCTCATTTCTCAATGTGGAGAGACTGAAGAACTTCTTTTTCTATTCTTTGAATTTTGATAAAAATTTCAGGATTTGATGCCATGGCTTATCAGGAGCATGTCGACTATGGTATTGTCCAGTCAACCAATCCTGATTACAATAAAGCCCTGATCAGAGTGAACATATTCAGAGATCATCGACAGACCATCCAGGTATGAACGGATATCTTGTTATATGATCTTGTTTTCTCATAGTAATTTTTTAAGACTGTAACAATAACCCCGACCGATGATATACCTGTTGGTAATTCCAGCGTGTCTCGGGACGCAAATACTTAATTGAAGTGAATCTGTGAATCTTGAATTAATATGATATGAATGATATTTAAATGATAAGACTTGTAAAGTATTTGTAAAACTATGCATTTCTGAGATACAAATAAAAAAAAAAAAAAAAAAAAAAAAAAAAAAAAAAAAAAAAACCATATAATTTTATATAAGTAGAACCAGCAAAAGATCCCTGCATACTAGTGGGGGGTTTACTGGCTCTCAACACACTATGACAAAACTTCAATAGGTTGAAGTTCATCATTAGTTCAAAGCTCAAAACAATTAGGTGGTTTGGTAGGACAGGAGCCGAGAGATTCACGATTGAACTTGCCAATCATTCTGTGTTCTTGCCTAAACCTCTTGCTCAGTCAAGTGCTTATGGGCCCTACTGCCACAAACACCTTACCCCTTTCTTTCCCTAGCACCTGTTGATTCTGTTTCAGAATTGACCAGTAGCGCAACAAGGAGCGTGCCAGCTTCCTTCATCCTGAAATAAAAGGTGCCACGTTACTCCACATGAACTTTTTTTTCAAAGATTAGAGTCTTATAATCTAACTTTAATTTGCCAAATTAATATTATTGCGGCATTTTAACTAAATCTTTAAATTATGAACTTACCAAAATTAATTAATTTATTTAACTTCAAAGGTTACTGTTTAAAACTCAAGTTAGTAACTTTCATCTAATATTACTTTCCAGTAATCTTACTTTGTTACGACTTCATCTTCTTCTGCCCTACCAACCCTCCTGATTTAGCCTCCCCACTTTCTCTTTACCAAGCGCGTTTCACAATTGTTCGCAAATATCTCTGCTCCCATCCAATCGAATCGCCCAATTGTTTGGCTTTGGCCTGAGCATTATGATAACCTCTTACGTTTCATCAAAATGCACTGAGAGCCATTAAGGCCCCACTAGTATGCAGGGTTCTTTATTAGCTGTCAAATTCTCCTTATTCCTCTACTATAATTGTTCATCAACTCTCTAATCTGCTTGAGAGAATTCAGATTAATGCTTGCTCATCCTTTCATATCTGATTCATCCATCATGCTCGTTTTTCTGTACGAATGCATTTTAGCCAAAATCTGATTCAATCTATATGAATCAGTTTTCATTTGCAGCAAAAGCCTGACATCAGTTCAACATTTTTAACTTCACTCTCACTTGTGGTACCCATTTCAAATTTTAAGGTGTTTAAGCAGGCTCCAGTGGCTCATCACCCTTTTACTGTAGCATTTAAACAAACTAGTTTTTTGTGTCAATATTAGCAGGGCGGAAATGGAAAATTTTTTTTTTTTTTTTTTTTTTTAAATTTATAAATGCCATTCTGCAATAATTAGCTCTATTGCACTCTTCTTCACCTCTAGAATTATTAATTTACACCCTTCCCCTTCGGCATGTTAATTGCAAGAGTTGTATATTGTATGTATTTGTATAAAATTTTTAGTACATTCACCCAACTGATCACCAAAGACTTGGACAAGCAGAGTTATTGGTCATTGATGAAGCAGCTGCAATCCCATTACCGTACGTCAAAGCTATGCTAGGGCCATACTTGATATTTCTGGCATCCACTATCAATGGGTAAGTTATTTTTCACCAATGTTTCCCACATTGTATGAAAGTCCATTCATCCTCAAGTAGCAACTACAATTTTTAAAATTTATATGGCAGGTAAACTTTGAAAGTCAAAAATTCAAAGCATATTAAGACTAAAATAAGAAGGCGAATCAGTGGACTAGGAAAGCAAGTGATCGTCGGAGTTTGTCAAAGACTGCATGTTCAGTATATATATATAAAGTCGCTTTACAACGCACTCTGGCGTTCTGTCTTCCCAGAGGCTATCGGGCAACTGACACCGCAATATCTCTTCGTCAACGCCCTGCCGCCAACCCTTTACGGGCCGTCCCTGTCGCCTCTTCCCAGGTGGTACCCAATCCAAAACTTGTTTGGGGCATGTTCAGTAACGATATTTTAAAACACCTTACAGCTCAATCTGCAACATTGCGGTTTTAAAGCTGAAGCTATTGACTTAAACACTCTTCAAGCCAGTAAAAAAAATCAAACCTTGCCAAATATCCAACTAATCAAGATAACTTACCGTATACTTTATTTGATTTAAATTCCTCAGCAAGGTAATAAAACAATCAAAGTCAAACTTTCTAATTTACATGGTGTTTTTCTATTACATATTAAATTTGTATTTGCGTTCCCTAGATATGAAGGCACAGGAAGGTCATTATCTTTAAAACTACTTCAGCAACTACGGACTCGCACAGCTCCAATTGGTACTGCAACTGCAGACAGTAAGAAGAACCAATCAGTCGCCACTGGCCGCAGCTTGCATGAGGTAATCATTTTTGAACTGCTCATTAACTTGGGAGTTTTCAATTGACTTCTTTCTTTTCTAGAACTGTTTATCAATGTGCTGAGAAAAATTTGTGTGTGTTTGGGATCAAAGGAACTTCCATTGATTATTTTCTTCATAAAAATTCCAGTGATTTCAAATAGATTCTGAATGTATTAAAGTAAAATGAAGAAGTTTACAAGTGTTTTTGGAGGAACTACAATAGATTCCAATGGAATTTCAGTCGATTTCAAAGGAATTTTTTGCCAAACTCGTGTCAGATAAATTTTCAGTTGTTTACTATTGATTTCTGTGAGTAGTCGACAGTTTTAGCAATATCCCATCAAAGAGAGTTATCGGTTTTCAGTATCTGCGCATAGAGGCAGCACGGTGTCGTCGTCACTCTTGGTCAAGCCTTGATTGCTATTGGACAGCTGCAGCGCAGTTGCTCATAAACAGAAAGTGAATAACACACAAATGCAAGTCACTAAAATGCACTAATCTAATGCAAGTTTTAGGAAATATTCATTGAACGTTCCTGTTGATTCAAATAGAATTTTTTCTCTGTGTGCTTTTTTTCTTCCTCTTGAGCTGACGAAATAATCATCGTGCTCAGACATTAAACCATCGATTAGAAAAGTGAATATCATTGTGCTACCATTGACTTAAATTCTAAAAAGAACTGACAGCTATAACTGATAGTACCTCTCATTAATGCAAACTGTAAATCTAGTTCGAGTCATCGCTGGATAGTCAACCTCATCATCTAATTTCACCTGAACTATTCATACCATTACTACAATGTCTTTTTTCCAGATCACTCTTAATGAATCAATTCGTTACAAGCCTGATGACCCTGTAGAAAAATGGTTAACTGATCTACTTTGTTTGGATGCCACTTCAATTCAACCAATCTCCTCTGGTTGCCCACCCCCAGATGCCTGTGATTTGTACTACATCAATCGGTAAGGATCTCAAAATACCTATGCATTTGATTGCTGAAAGGGCATATTTTTTCTGAGAAAATTCTATCAAATTATGAGCACTTGAAAGATTTAAACTTATTGGCTTTTATGAAAAATTAAATTAACTCCTCTGCAAATTACTGGCTTGATAGCAAGAGTTTTTTTTTTTCAAAGTTTTCATTACACAGAACAGAAAGTAGGGGAAGAAAAGCATTCTTCGAAAGCGTTCATTGAAAACTTGTTAAGAGGCTAGAATCAAACCAAGGAGGTATAGTTTCCATTCCAGGTCCATACAAAAATATTTGCCTAAAAAGCATACATACATATCAAGCCGCTACCTCAGCGCACTAGAGCGCTCTGCGACTCCAAATCGCCATCGGAATCGATCCTCCCACAAATCATCGGGCAGATTACACCGTCTGATCTCCCCTTCCACTCCCTAACTCCCTTTAGTTCACGCACTCGTTCATTACGAACGCGCTCTCTCCACGAGATCCCTGCAGACCTTCGCCAAAAGTCCATTTCGGTCTAAAAAGCTCTTTTTGAAATCTATACTATAAGCTCCGAGACCTCCTAATTTTACGAAACTGGTGACGCTTAGTTCCAGCGTTCTACCGGGCCGATTTTCATGATTTTTACGGCAATCGACGGGCAATTGTCTCTAGATTAGCCAACTCTTTTCAGATTTTCAAAATATGGCCCAGGTTTTTTTATATTACGTGGTAAAGTTGCGAATTCTCTCATAAGAACAATGTAAATTTATACTTTTTGTCATAGTTCGTTTGAGCGTTCTACCGGGCCGATTTCCATGATTTTTGCGTAGATCGTCAGGTAATTGGCCCTAGATGTGCCCGCTCTAATTAGATTTTGGAAATAGGACCCAGGTTTTTTCAAAATCACGTTATAAAAGTGAGTAACTTTACAGAATGCTCCGGGACTGCTGCCGCTATGCGCGGGAGGATGCGCAGTGGTCGAGGAGGTTGCGCAGTAGCTGGGTAGCCTGCGCATCAGCTCTACCCTTATCTACACAAGATTCGCCGATGGATTCTCACGATGAGCGGTGGCCGAGTCGTCTAGGACGTCGAATGCGTCCACTTTGAATTAGGCGTGGGTTCGATCCCCGACTTATGAAATTTTAATTATTCCCTGACTATCATTGGTCATTGTTTTACTGCAATATTTCATCAAGCAGTCATTCCAAAACGCGTCCTTTTAATTTTAACGTAATTTTAAGTATAAAGTCTAAAATTAAAGTTTATCTCATATCGTAATTTTTTAGGGGAAAAATAAAACTAACAGTGACAGGAGGGTAAAAATAGGGCCGCGAAGCGGCCCATTGATGGCGCGGAGCGCCTTCAGGGGGTTGGGCCGCGTAGCGGCCAGGGGGCGTAGCCCCCTAGTATTTAAATATGCATTTCAATTTTTTTCAAGGAAATTTCCTTGCTGGGCCCTTTGATGTATGTACTCATTTCTTTCTGTAGTATTAAAGCTTTTCTCGTTCAATATTTTATATACCAATTAATTTTTTTTCCCTTTCTTTTCAGAGATACTTTATTCTGTTATCATAAAGCATCTGAAGCTTTCTTACAAAGGCTTGTAGCTCTGTTTGTTGCTTCTCATTACAAGGTAAGTGGATCAATCCTCTTTTATTCCTGAAGATCTTTTGATCTGCCAGTATTCATTTTTGAAAATTACTTATTGATACGCATATTCAACATGACTGGACCTTACCATAAATAGAGTGAAAGAACAGCGAGTCTGAGTGTGTGAAAATTTAGATGGTGCACAACATTTTTACTTGATAAACATTGAAAACGGATATGTAGTTATAAACTGCGTTTCACACTTTCTCTGGATTGAAGTCCATATTTACAGTCACCGTGTGTGATAACTTCAGGGAATGACAGATCATTCCAGAAGCTGTCCAAGAATTATTTAACGCTTCAGAGCGTGAGAGAACATAGGTGTGCAGCGTGGTGTTACACTGAAGAAATTTGCTAACGTTTTAAATTTTTCCAATGTGTTTAGTTGCTTTAACTGTAAAACCACTTTAAGTGTCAAAATAAATTAAGAACTTCCATAAAAAGTTAAGTTGCAAAAATCAATAATTAAGTTAGGGGTAATTCTACAAAAACCGTCCAATTTGACCTCCCAAAAACTAAAAATTCAACTATGTTATTTTGGATTGAAAGTTTTTTTTCCTTAATTCAGTGTAGTATCATGCTTAAAAAGTCTATACGAGTACCTTTTTTTTATCAGGCATTTTTTTTCTTTTTTTATGGGAAATTGTTTTAAAAATAGATCTCGGATGTCACAACTGTCACATCGATTACTTCGGTCCATCAGAAAGAGAAAAATGGTCAAATATGCAGTTTTATTTTTTTATACTGTTAGGTCCTATGAAGAAGTGAAACAACGAAAAATAGTGACCCAGTGTATTTGTTCATCATAAAATAGTAAATGGTTTCTGCAGAGATTTTTCTAGCAAAGATTTTTCAGCTTTTTTCTTGGAAAACAAAAAAATGTTTCTTGATTTAAGAATGAAATATCTACATATTTGTTTTTTTCTTAAATACCTGAACCTACGCCTCCAAAAAATCTTATACATTGCGCAAAAATTATGAACTTTAAAAATTGGTAGTTGTTTCATAACTCTGAAAAAAGTGTGACGATCGTGACATGATTCATCCATTTAAAATTTTCGGTCATTCTGTTCTCGTCAGTATATTACTTTATGCTTCCTACTTTCTTAGGAGCCCCATCCCCCCCCTCCAGGTCCTATATCGTCACTTGGATCAAATTGGAACTAAAGTTTTGGCCAACAAAGATAGCGTTAGTTGTATGGTCAGCGGTAGTTTTCAGCAATATACAAATGTGAATAACTCGACATCAACTTTTTACCACATAGCCTATCATTTACTAGTCTTTAATTATGCATTCATTTTTACCTGTCTTTTTCAGAATACGCCAAACGATCTCCAAATGATGTCTGATGCCCCTGCCCATCATCTTTTTTGTCTGCTAGGTCCCGTAGATGCGTCAAAAACATCGCTACCAGAGATTTTATGTGCTGTTCAGGTGAGATATCAGTAAATTCAAAAGCCGAGATATATTTTTAAAAAAATTAGAAAGATCAATATTTCAGTTTAAATGTAAAATGAATGAATGTGAAGTATCCTTGAGAATTAATTTCTTGTAATCTTATTTTTCTTTTTTTCTTTTTTTTTTTTTGACCTGAGATTTTTCTTGAAGTTGCATTGCTCACAGGCCTTTAGTAGGCTTTTTAGTCAAAGGAACAACCATAAATATTATAACCAGGAGTACTTGGATGCGATGCTTAATTTGTTTGCTACGCATAAAAATACAATAATTTTTTTCAATTAAAATAAATTTTTGCTCCATATGAAAAAAAAAGTCACTCGGACTGGTTCAGATTAGCAACAGAATACTACAGGATGATATTTAAAACAAAACTAGTCGCGCTGTCCATTGGAAGTTGGAGAAACTCAACAAAAACAATTGCCTAGCAATGCCGCAAAATGGTGCGACAGGTGCAAGTTAACTTGCCAGTGCATATATGTCCCAGACGCGCCATGAAGAGTATACTCATCAATACGTGCAAATGGGTTAACCCATGGAATAATTTTTTTTTTTTTAATTGAGTTCATTTCAATGAGACGAAGATTCTTGAAACATCGAACATTGAAGCTAAAACAAGTCAGAAATCAAAGTAAGAAATTGTTTAACCAAGTATGCACAAATTGTAAATGTTCAGCCTGCGCTATTAGCCTTGTGTTAGCCAGCCAGCTTTTGCTTTGTTTCTTGTGAAACAGAACTCTTATGGAAAACTTGTGTTTCAAATTTTGTAAGTGCTAGATTTTGGACCAGATGCACATTAAGCATTCAATATTTTCTGATCCCAGTATTCTTCAGAGCGTTTTAAACAACTTCTGATATCTTAAAACTGAAAATTTTTGTTGTTTCCAAATTAATTTCAATTCGAAACTTTTTAATCTCAGATCTGCTCATTTCTAAGGCTTCAAAACTCTCCCATTACTTTGTTAAATTCTTATGATGTCTTTTTTACTCATTCGTAGGTTTGCTTGGAAGGACAAATATCAAAAAAATCAATTACAGATGGATTATCCCGAGGAAAACGAGCTGCTGGTGATTTAATACCCTGGACTGTTTCACAACAGTATCAAGATAAAGAATTTGCAAGTTTGGCAGGCGCACGAATTGTAAGGATCGCTACTCATCCAGACTACCAGAGTGTAAGTTACTTTTACCATTAACAACAGCTGTTTGCTTTTTGATGAGCAGCTGAACTTTATCCTTAAACTATTTAATCATTCTTAAGCTGTCAGTATCCACAGTCCCCAAATGCTCTCAGCAGCAAAGAACACTGAAATACAAATAATTAATGTAGTATCCGTAACAATGCAAGCTAATTTGGCTAAAGTAAAGGTAGTTTTTCTTAAATTTCGTACATTTTGTACACAGTGGAAATCGGATATTTCAACCTTCTAGTGACTGGTCTAATGTGGTCACTATATCCGATTGTTGTCACAATCAATGTATAAATACATTGAATCAATGAGATTTCAGTCATGGGGCCGACCAAATGGCACATCATCATGATCAATATGTCGTTATAAGCAACGTTGTAATGTCTAATTTCCACTGTAGGTGTACCTCTCTCCTCATACTTTTACTTATCCCTTTTCAGATGGGTTATGGTTCAAGAGCCCTTTCATTGTTGCGAAAGTACTATGAGTTCAAAATGCCAAGCTTAGATGAAGAAATGTTACCCTCTGAAGAAATTCAAACAATCGAAGAGGATGAAGTGAATTTGTTGGAAGAAAGAATCGGCAAGTATTTAGTGACCTCTTTGGTTTGATTAATTTTATAAGCCATCCTAATTCACGTCTAAAAGTTTTCCTGTTTTGTCAGACATGAATTTTTGCTTCAAATTTTTATCATAACAGGGTGTCTATTATACGGAAAAAATACAGATTTTGGAAGGTTGGTACGGAAGCACAGCAAAGGTACGGATTTTCCGTGAAAAGGTACAGAAATTCGAGATTTTTGTGATGAAGTCTAAAGTAGCCTTAGGGGTATGCAATCTCCTACCTTAATCCATTTATCGAGTCTCTGGTTAGATTCCTCATGTTTTTTGGTTATTCCAATGTCATTCGCTCATTCCACTCTCTCAATCCAAATACTGGTCAAAATGTATGTAAGATAAGGGAATGGTACTGAAAAAGCAAGATATTTAATGGCAAGGTACCAGTAAACTCCAGTGGCGTGGCGTGAATAATCGATTATCGATATCTCGCCATTGGAAGATATGGTGAAGAATTGATTACTAAGGTGTTCGCTGCGAACACCCTGATAATCGATCTTTTTTCATAGGTTTGAGTGGCATATCGATCGATATATCGCAAAGCACGCCACGTCACTGGTAAACTCCCTGCATAACTGAGGTACAACTGAGGATAGTTTACTATTGTACTTTTCTCGTTCCATGGAAGCTCAACATAGGTTTTTGGGTATTTATCTCCTGTTAAACTGATCAGTCAAATGCAAATATGATCAGAATAGCAAGTATTGAAACTCAATTCGGAAATTGAAGACTAGAACAACTTATATCAAATCCACTAGTGGAAAAAAATTGTGAATGTCCATTTTTGACTCCATGTTATTACTCCATTTCAAATAACCTAATGATACTTATTCCATTTCAGAGCCCAAGAAAAAGCTTCCTCCGCTGCTTTTCAAATTAAGTGAAAGACCCCCTGAAAATTTGGATTATGTCGGTGTATCATTCGGTCTCACAGCACCTTTATTAAAGTTCTGGAAAAAAGCAGAGTTTGTGCCTGTGTATTTAAGGTGAGTTTGATGCTAATGTGTAAGTATTACCCTATCAAAGTAATGTATTGTTCTACAATCAAAGAGGTAAGCTAATCTCTCATATTAAGGAGAAAGAAGAAAGGGAACTAGTGTAGAGTATTGGAAGCTCTTACTCTTATGTCGCCAGATCTTCATTTTGACAACCCTCACCCTTTCCTTCAAAGAAGAAATTACAATATAAAGATGTAAATGATCAAAGTTTCACCTCGCTACTCTGCAAGTCCTTAAAAATTTGTCATTATAATGTGTTGGTTCCCGTGATTTGTGGGCATCACAGCAATGCTGCCTAAGACCTTTATTGAACCTTTATCAATACTCAATAAAACTCACCTTTCTCTATCTTTGAAATTTGGCACATAGTATAGTGATACAAACAAGAAAAAAAACACTAAGAAACTTTTGGGTTTTCCTTATTTTATTTTGAGAGTTGTTCAGCGGCGTCAGGATTTTGTGTCATGCCTTGCGTCATATTCATAATGGAGTTTTGACGCCATCTTGGATTTTTGCGGGATGCTAAGGTGGGCTCATCAACAAGTGTGATCTATTGATGAGGTCTCAAAAGACCCAAAACGTTATAGATCTCCCGGCGCCATCTCAACTTGATATTCCAACGCAAGCTGCTTGAGCTGAACACTGTCCTTCCTCAGTCTTGTACTGGCACTCATTAGAGCTCAAAAATTTTTGACTCTAATTGAAATTTCGAAGCTTTTTGGCTGTGTTTTCCCTGCAAAATAGTGTGGACCCAGCACTATTTTACCACCTTGTTACTCAGTCAGTCAACACTCCCTCCAAAATCCTGTACAGAGAACAGTACAGATTACAGTAAGACCTCGATTTATTGGATTTCATGGGACCGGAGGACGAATCCATTAAATCGCAGAATCCGCTAAATTGTGCTAGTTGGTCCTGCTGAAGGGACCAGAGGATCGATCCGTTAAATCGCGATCCGATAATTCGAGGTCTTACTGTAATAAGTCATGGAATTTTTGCTATTGATTTCTTTGTTTTTTAGGATGTAAAGAAAATTTGAAAACACTGAGGTTCACCTGCAAATTCCTTAGTAAGCCGGAATGAGCCTGCTTTTTGGAGTTTTTAGCTTCATTTATTAACAACCTACTTGCACTCATAACTTTCTTCCAAAAAATTATCCACATCAATCCCCCCCCCCCCCCATTCTTTTCCTTTTTGAAGAATTTTTTTTTTTTTTCTGTTTCTTTCAGCTTTTCTATTTACATTTTATGTATTCAACTTTCAGGCAAACAACAAATGAATTAACTGGCGAACACTCTTGCATCATGGTAAGCACTCTTAATCATGCAAGTGCTTGGAATGACAAAAGTAGTAAATGGCTTGCAGAGTTTTGGTTCGATTTTAGGAGGCGGTTTAGCTCTTTACTTGGTTATCAGTTTAGAAAATTCTTGCCGTCTTTAGCCTTAAGTATGATTTCAAACAAATCCATACAAATAGAAGACAGTTGTGGTAAGTTTTATACAATCTTTATTAATTGTATTAATTTTTTTAAGTCATGCTCCTATGTATCTACGTAAAAAAAGAACTTAAGTGTTAAATGGAAAACAGGTGGAAACCTTTTTAATGCTTGTTTCCACACTCAATTCCCCCTCCTCAGTTTTCTATAAAACTGACAACCAAAAGCTTGGATCGGGTGCCCTCACAATGTAAAACCAAAATAAAAATGAAGAAACTATCACCATTTTAAAACAAAAAATGCGAAATAAAATTATTGTCAGCTCAGCAATTCTGTCTGCACTGAAACATCAAGAGAGTGCTTTGGCAAGCAATCAGATTAATTTAAACTAAAAACCTGCTTGAAGTTTTGGTCTTTTCTTTGAAGAATATGAGAGTAAAAGTTCTTTTAGTCCCCAGCAAAACATCTTGTCGCTTATCGAATGTATCTTTGCACAGAATTTCAATAACTATCTTTCAATCAGCAATAACATGGTCAGAAAATTTTACAATCTTATCGTAATTTTAAACAATTCCAAGACTCAATTTTTTTTTGCTCTATTTTTCTGTCTATTTTGTATGAAGATTTGAGAAACCTGAAGGATGAGTTCAAAATTTCAATTCTCATTACACTGTTAAAGCCCTAAACGCATTGATTCTGCTTCTATTTCTTCCAATTTATTATGTATTTCTATTCATTCTGTTTTTAGACTAATAGCAATCATTGTTAATTTTGTTTTCAGTCTTGACGAGAGAAGTGCTTGATGTGTATCTTACCTCCTATGATGTTAAACGACTAGAAATGTACAGTAATAACTTAGTTGATTATCATCTTATAATGGACCTTTTACCAACGTTAGCTAAATTATATTTTCTGAATAAAATGGGAGATGTCCATTTATCTGCGCTTCAGAGTGTGAGTTTTCGTCTCATCTTTCCATCTTTGCTATAATCATAGACTTCTGTCTTGAAAAAACGTTCGACAAAAATCGACATTTTGAGGAGAGCTGTATGAAAAAACGTGCATTTTCATGTATTAGAGCAAAAATATTTCGCTAGATGCATGATGATTTTTTCTTTTTTCTTTTGCCATCTCATAATTGGTTCAACTTTCCATGTTTTCATCTCTTTCAAGAAATATCGGAGTTATCAATCAAGAAGAACTTAAATCTCAGAATATTATTCTTATTGGAATGAATTTCATTAGATATTTAAATACCTAGTGACTAAAGTATCATCAAAGGTACAACTACATAGGAATGCTCCTGTAGTATGAAATACTGTGAGAAGCGTCATTGAATGTATCACACACTACTAGATATACATAAAAAAGGAGTCTTTGTCGCAGGCTGCTGTGTAACAATTTCTTTTCAATTTATTTTCATCTCGGTTGGCTTCCAAAAGTGGTGGTATGATGACCATAAATTGCATTCAAAAAAAAAAAATGATGTAGATGAAAGTAATGAGACTCTAGTGTGACATTTTCATCTCCTGTGGAAACTGTGTATTTTTATAAAATATCCAGTGCCAAACCATTAATGGAAAAGTGACTAGAAATACTGGCATGTCAGTGCTGAGAGTGGCCTATTTTAGTTGGTTTTTTGCTGTGTGAATGGAACTTTGTTCAAAATCACCCTAAATATCAACTGACCCCATTGAATTTTTCCGGGTGTACCCGCTAATTTATTTGCCCCTGTAGTATCAGCTTACAGTGTTTTCTTGAGTAACTATGACAAAAAAAAGTGAACCACATTTTGCAATGAGGGACAACTATTTCCAGCTCATTTCAGAAACGACATATTGTACCATTATTGACATATTACTTATATCAATGCTGATAGATACTTTCAGATGAGTCGAAAATATTAGTCTCTTGTTGAAAAATCCAGTCCAAACATACAAAATGATTTTTGTATTTTTAGGCTTCGAGTCTACTCTCAAATGTTTTAAACTCGTCATTGATCTTTTTATAATGGATGCGCATGATATTGTTTCCAGGCAATTTTGTTAGGACTTGGCTTGCAGTACAAAACAGTGGAAGATCTTTCCACTGACTTGGAGATACCATCGATGCAACTTCTTGGTTTATTCAATAGAGCTATAAGGCGAATAACGCAGTATCTCTCTGGAGTGTTGGAACAGGCTGTTGAAAAAACTCTGATAAATCCATCAGCACCTACAAATATGAATCCAACATCTGTAACTCTGCAGGATGAATTAGAAGAAGCCGCATCTGTAAGTAAATTTTGTCAAAACTTGAGTTGAATTCTTGTTTTTGCTTTTGGTGCAACCAAGTTGGAGTAAGAAAATCTATCCTTGTAAATTTAAATCAGTTTACGGAAATGTAACTCAGCAATCACGTTTTTGACAAAGTCATGCCAACAGAGTGATTAGTTTTGAAATATCAACAATTTAAGATGTATGTGTACTTAAACTTTCTTGTCAAGTAGCTATTTTGGCGTACTTAACTCAATGTGCTTAAATAGGCAGATTATCGTCCTAACCAGTTTGTACTACACACAGTCTCTGAGCTTATTATCACAAACCTTTGTAAGTTCCCATTGAAAACAGAATATGTGCACCAGTTTAAATACTCATTTTGGACAATTCTAGGGTTTGAGGCTTTGAGGTGAGATCCAGTTTTTAAGTCTAGAATATAGAAATTTTCATGTGCAAATTACCCTCTAGTGTAAGGTAGAACTCGAAGTATCCAAAATTTTCATGCAAATGCTACTGCTGTCTCTAGTTTCACTCCCAAGACTTTTTACCGATTGCTCAGATTTTTTCTGTTTCCAAAATGAAAAATCCTAGGAACGCCTCTGTATAGAATATCTTAGTATCCAGTATTGCTGTATCTAGAAATTACTCTTTGACTTAAATTCATCTTAGGTACAAATATCAAATAAGCTTTTACAGGCTCGATGCCAAAAATTCTCTCTCATAACCAAGAAATTCTAAAGTTACTTGAAATATCAGTTTAGCTGCATTTACTTCTTTTATTCAAGTTTTATAATGCTCATAATTTTTTTTTCTCTTTCTCATTATTCATCCCTAGGAATTACAAGCAACTCAAATGAAAGAGCTCGCAAGGTTGAAGAAGGAAGATCTCGGTCAATTCGCAATCAAAGGCTCAGAGGCAGAATGGGAAGATGTTCTCTCCACAGGGCCGCAAAATCTCATCTCTGTTAAAAGGTCTGTCTGGTGGCTTTTCCTTCTTCTTGCTCTCTCCGTATTTGTTTACAGCTCTAATTTGTGTGCCTGGATTTCTAGTCACGCTCTAAGCAATATTCTTTAAAATTCTAAATATCAGAAGATCATCAAGATTTATATGTCAAGAGCAGAGACATCCGCATTTGTTTATTTCTGTCCAATACTTCAGATTGCCTTTGGTAAGGGCCCTCTTATCATTACTTTTTCTCACCGGAAGTGTTTCGGAAGCCCACCAAAAACCAATCGGACAGCCCTAATTTGTACCTTATGTCGCAATCACTTGCTGAATGTGGGAGCTGAATGTGGCTTTAATGTAGAAGTCATCGGCCCGATGCCTGAATTTTGCGCGAGCCGCGTAAAATTCAGCAACGATTCTCAGCAACCATCGGACTAATGTTGGATTTGTCTGAACTATTGGAGTAGATTTGATGATGCACATCTGGATGAAAACAACTCAAATTTGCGAAATTTCAGCCGATGGGCGATGACTGTTGACTTCCACATTCAGCTGCTAAATTCAGCGTGTGATTGCGGTACAAAAGTAACACTTGCAAAATAGTTGCATTTCAGTTTAGAAGAAGCACTCATCAAAATCAAATTAAGCAGGTTCAGAGGCGGACTAGCGCAAGGGCGATTGCTCTCTACACTTTAGTCAGAAGGAGTTTTTTTGGCAAAATTTGAGGGCCCCATCCGGCAACTTCCAAAGAAATCTTACAGTGCTTCTACAGGCTCTTTTGAACTGTCCCTTTATTAAGAAGGCTACGGTGCTAAGCAAGAACGCTGTAAATCCATCAAGATTTTCCCTCGTTTTTTGGAACTTACCACTTTCTTGTTCTTCAGTTCTTGATAGTATTTGCAAAAGAACTCTGTAAAAACATGGTCCCAAGATACACAAGTTTTTCTGCATGGTACATTGCCTCCATAAAATGTAAAATGGCATTTAAGGCGTTTTTGCGTTGCGCGGCAAAAGAGCCTTCCATGTTCTTTTGGCAGATTTTGCCCCCTGGAAAATTTGGAGCCAGTCTGCTCCTAGGCAGGCCTTAAATTTAATCTAAGCTGGTGTTTTTCTTGTAATTTACTCAAAATTTTCTAAAAATATGTTTGTTTAAATTTTTCTCATTAATTTCCTGTGGTTTACAGTGGCATTAAAAGAACGATAAAAACTCAAGAGGAGGAGCAGCCTGAAGAAGAACCGGAAACAAAGTTCAGTAAAAAAAAGAAGAAGGAACACAGTAAAGAAAAAAATAAAAAACACAAAAAATTTAAAAAGTAAATTTCCCAGGGATATTCGAATCCTTTTTCTGTATTTTAAAATTAAGTTCTTATTTTTTTGGACAAGTCTCATTGCTTACATATCATACTATCAGTATGATACTTACACATACGCGATTCTGCTTGTGCGTCTAATCGATTGGAGAAACATATCTATTCTCTCCGATTATGTACTCTCATGCACTTCTATTGACTCCCTGTTTTCTCCAAAGTATGTGTCACTACAAATAAAATAAATGTACATACTAATTGTTATATCGCTGTGATCATTATATCTAATCATTTCAGGCAAATTAGATTTCTAATTGGTTTTCTTGTTTGGAAAAAATTCGCCAAAATGTCAACTCTTTGAAGTGTTTTATTCATACGTAGCTTAGTATGAAGGGACTGTGAAAAAGGTATCAAGAGGATTTTGTAATTTTGATTTATTTTTTTTTTCTTTTATTAAAATAATTATTTTAATCTAAAACCCAAGTGTCCTAATTTCCTTCCCCTTTTTTCGCTCTTTTTGCAAGACCCAATGAAGTGGTACCTAATATTGATATATTTGGATTTGGAAACTTCAGATATCCTCCTTAACTTTTTTTAGGGGTAAATGTGAAGTATGAGTCTTTACTGAGTTTGTCTGAGTTTCTTTTTTTTTTTAGTCTGTAAGATTATCCAGTGAAATTAATTTGATCCAATGCAATGATGAAGTGGATTACATTTTGCAATAAGGAACCACTATCTCTCACTCTTCCATGAAAGCGCATATCTACATAGGGAAACAAATGACATGTGTGTTGTTTCTGAAATGGGCCAAAAATAGTGGTTCCTTATTGCAAAATGTAATCCAAGTTAAGTATGTGCCCGAAGATAGCATTGAAAAATAGCTCAAAAGTGATGAAATACTTTAAATTCCACTCCAGCACCCAGGAAGCTCTCAAAAAACTGTAGCTATTTTGAGATCCAATTCATGAAATTTAGACTTTTAAAAAATTATGGTACCTAGGTACATATTGTTTCTTTCAACAGGAACTGCAAATCTTAATCGCTCCTCTGCACTTAGACTTGTCAGACATCAAATGGACGGCGTTAAGCGGAAAGGAACCAAGCCACATCAGCTTTTGCCAAATTCAATCTGGCAATTTCATTTTTTACATGAAAATGTTTGTGCAAATTTGTGTGCAAATTTGTATGCAAATTTCACAGAATTTTCTGCTTAGTACGAAGAACAGTAAAAACAGTGAAACAGTGAAATTCCTCTAAGTTTTCAAAAGAATTCGCTTAAATGTTCTCCAGTAAAAACTTTAATTGCCTTGTTAAATTTTGCAGTAGCTGTTGTGGTTTGGTTCCTTTATGCTCCATTAGTGCGGTCCAAATAACCTTCAACCCATCAATTTCCCCTCAAGATCAAAAGGTTGATGACAGGACAGGTGCTAGAAAAATGTTTCCAATTTAATACAAACCTACGTTTCTACGTTTTGGAAAACATTCTCAAAAACTTAGCGACCCTAAAGTGTAACAGCAAATCCGGCCCTTGATGTCTTTTCATGCTGACCTTTCCAATGATCAGCTCGAAAGTCTGCAACTCCCTTAAAAATCACATCAGATTTTGAGAGACTCCCTCTCAATCATTGATAAGAATCACATTTTAGTCATTATTTTCACCCAAACAAAATAGTAAATAATCGCTTTTTGCACCGAATTTCCCCTCCCCCGCCCTTCCCTCCGGGACAAGAACCCAAAGACATTGCAAGATCCTCATTTTCCTAGATTGCGACTTAACAACTTATGAACGTCGTAGAGCACGAAGTCATTGTCTACAGATTTCTCTACAGTATTTCGTCTTTCAACTAATCCAAGAAAAAATAGGAGCATAAAGAAAAGCGCAAAATGCGTTAAGTATTTCTCCTCGGTATGTGAAGGTATGAAATAATTTCTACCGTCTACCTCTCCCCCCCCCTTCCTCTTCGTGTATTCTTTACCTCGTTCGTCGAGCAACGCTACTGATGGTTCCGAAAACGGCCGAGGGTCTGGTCTAGAGTGAGTGCGCTAGTGTCGCAAGTGCAGCTACTTTTCACGGAACGCAGCATTCCCATTATCACGCAGTCGAAGGTAAATTTATCTCGTGATCGTGATCGCCGAAGTACGAATAAGTGTTTTTAATTGATCATGTGTTTGTGATTTCGGTGTGTTTTATTTTTTTTATCCTAATTTCATAACATATGTGGTGTGAAAATGGGTGTTGGATTATTACCACTAGAGTTTACCGACTGTCTGACAGATAGTCCGTACTTTCGTGACAACTTACATGCTCACGAGAAAGAGCTCGACAAAACCAGCCAACAGATCAAAAGACTGATCAAAGAAGTGAAAGATCTTCTGACCGCGGCCAAACGTAAGTACTCGTCTAACGTCTCAATCATTTCGTATATCTGTGAACTCGCTAAGTTTTGCACTTTTTCAGAGCGTTTCCTCTAAATAGTATGACGTTTTCCGTCACAGCCATCAAAGGCTGTCAAAAGTCTGAGGTTATGTTTATATTTGGGAACCTTGAGCTTTCTTTTCTGATTTTATCCGACGTTTAGTCCTTTTAAGGTACTCGATGATCTTTCATTCATGTGTGCCTCCTCATCTAAATGCTTGATTTGTCTCCCTCCCACTTATAGTCATGTTACCAATAATGATTTCACGGCTGATTTCAAGCTCAGAATCAGCGACCTATTTTCAAAGTTCGGCTGATTGTCCCTAGTTTTTCGAGTCCTTTGTAGTTTATTATGAAACGACCAATTCTCTAAGGTGTACTCAGTCTTGAGGTTTTCCTGAACACTTGTTGCATCCTGGAGTAACAATGTGAATAAACCTGCAATGCACATGCAGCAAGTGTCAATGAATTACCTTGCACTGTTTCCATGTTGGAACATTTTGTATGCGTATTGCATGAGTATGCGAAGCTCTCTCAGTTTTATGTGCACCGCATCATTCAACTCAATAGGTAGTCCATCAATGTAAGGGATGGAAGGGGCATGTAATGGCTCTGTTTTGCCCTGATGCATTTCACACATAGCTTCAAAGGTGCAAGGAATGGTTAAGAGCAAAAAATATTTGCTGGACTTACTTAAATATTGCTCATGTCTCTCTGCCAAGAAAATCTGCAACAGTGCATTTGCAAACCAGGACCAGTCTAGATTAGAAGGTATCCACCCAGCATAACATTTTTTTTCATGCACAGCGCTTAAGTATTTTTAAAGCTGCATTACCCAGTGCATGTACGCACTGTTTCTCAACATTAACGGAAGCAAAAGAAGTGTCCTAAATCCTGAGCATGATAATATAATGAGTGGTTTTAAAATTTCCTCATAACTCAAATTAATGTAACAGTTCTGAAAAAATCCTTGATCGTCATTTTTCCGTAATAACAACTATTTTTTACACCAAGAATTCTAAGATATATGCAGGAATTATTAACGTATGTTCATTAGAGGCAAGTTCTAACATTCTTCTCTTCATCCTAACAACTTTGGAATTTAAATATTTTAGAAGAGAATGGCAGGCCTTGGTATTATGATTGCTGGAAATGCAATGCAAAGGAACTACAGCAGTTATTTATTTCTAATAGTTACCCCTAATTTATCTTGGGTTTGCCTCCCCCGAAAGCCTCCCTTCATTTCCATAAAGAACCGTGCTTTTTACCTACGATGAAGTCAGAAATTCTTTGCTATTTTTCTTTGAGATTCTCCAGTGGTTTTTTCATTGAAAAAGTATAAAAAAATAAATTTTTAGCCACGAGCTCTACTAACATTATACGATTAAAGAAGCAATAGAAAATACAAATTTCATAAAAACGGTGTCAATATCTTAAATTTGAGATTATTGATTTTCATTAATCATGCCTATTTTAACCCTTCAGAAGTATGTTGCATGGTTCTCCCTTGTTAACTGCATTTTTGCTGGCTCTGATCTGTGCTGGGTTCCTGGAAATGGGCTCTTAAGGTGGGATCAAATTAGAATTTATTTAATTTATGAGAGCACAACGTTACCAACCTTGAACCGGCATTTCAACTTACAACATTTTGTGACTGTTAATTTTCTATTTTCTATGCCTTTTGTTTTAGTTTAAATCAATTTTATTTCTGTCCAGTACAGCACTAGAACCAATATGTTGTGTCCCAGAATATTTTTGTAGGTACTAGGTTAGATTAGACAGGGATGGATGGGGGAGGGTCAAGAGTTTCCAAATCCAGGCATCTTGCTTTTATGCATTTCTCCGCCCCCTGACCCAGAGTACACCCCCAAAAATTACTTAAAATTTTTTAAACTCTAATGCAAGTAAATGTCATGCCTTTCTTGAGCCACGAATTCAAGCTCATTATCGCTTTTCATCTGCCCAATTAATTCCATTCGAGTTCTCATCATTCAAGATCTATAGTAAGTGCATAAAGGCACTCTACTTGAGGTTGACGTTTTAAATTTTATCCATTAAAATGTTTGCACCTATTTTCCCTATTTTTTTGCTTTTCCAATCGAATGCATTTGGTTATTTGGTCAAGTTAGTAAATGGGGGCTATGTTTCGATTTTGGCTTTAAAAAGTTGTCTTAGACCCTGAAAAATAACATCCCTCAAAGATCGTGCCCACTATGCCGCGAACTTGTGATATTCGGGGAGCTTTTCTCGTATTTCGCAGATGGAACGACCTTGCCTCGCCTCTGACTTGTCGTGTATTTTGTCTCGCCACCATCGCACCGTTTTGTCGCGGTGCGGTGTACTCTGTATGCACAGTTCGATTAGCCGTAGATATTCAGACGGCTGCCGGCAATAAAGTAAGTCATGCTAAGCAAAGCTCGTAGATTATCCGCGTTATTTGCTCCCCCACCCCCGCCCTCCTCCAGGGGGTGAACGACTAAATAGAGTCGTTGTCGTTTTCCAGATGTAGACACTGACGTCACCCGACAAGTTCTCTCGACCAAGCAATCGGTCGCTGGATACAATTTTAGAGCACACTGGAAAAAAAAAACACATTGGATCTACAGCCCAGACTCTTGAAAACATTGACAAGAAAAAGGACTCTTGATTCAATCAGATTTAAGCTTAAATCAAAAGGATATACGCTTAAATTAAGAGGCTTTGTTCTTGATTCAAGCAAAAATCCGATTGAATCAAGAGTATTTTTTCTTGTCGATGTTTTTAAGAGTCTGGACTCTAGATCCAATGTGTTTTTTTTTCCAGTGCACAGTTATCTCATGGGCGAAACGGGGGAGAGCCTGCCCTCCNAAAAAAAAAAAAAAAAAAAAAATCACCCGGCCCCTCCCAAGAGTTGTGAGGAATTTCGCGGAAGTCCGCGCCGAATAAGTTTACGCGCTTCTAGACTGCGACAGAAGATCGTCTGATGTCACTTGTACATGTAAAA